GCTACCCGTCTTGGGCGTACAAATGGGCTGCAGTTTAACTACTGGTATTATGTTGTCTTTTGAATGCTATTTTAATTGAGTGATATAATGTGTTTAGCAGCTGTGGTTGATATTCAAATCTAAAAATAGTTTAGCTGCAAATCTGCCATTTATTGTAGAGAGGTTAATATTAACAGATTTGATGTTAACTTTGCTTATTAACTCTGTTTTAATTTAGTACATTTAGCTACAATGTATCAGCAAAAATAATACTCAGCAAATAATTCAGCCATATGATATCTAGTTTTTAACCATGCAGATAAACAGAATTCATAATTACCTGATTCATAGTTTAGATTACCATATATAATGTAATATACAGCAATGAAGTCAGAGAACACCTTGGGTGACATTCTGGTCATGTCTGTCTGTCTGAGTGCAGATTCAGGTTAAATTTTTTAATGCCAGAATTCTTCCCTCCATTTTTGTGCAACATTTTGCAAATTTTTACAAATTTTTTATGAATTTGTATTTATGATTGAGTGGAGCTTCACATTTTACTGATTGTTTGTTGTCATCAACTGGTTTTCAGTGAGTTCAGTGTTTAAATTCAGAATGCTTATAATATAGTCCCAAATGCTGCTCAATCCTAGACCACACATGTATACTCAATTTTAGTCAAAAACAAAATCAATTACGAATTCTTCCTGAGCTTTTCTTCACCCAATCCAGGTCCCTTGCTGACTGTGTGTAAGAATATAGTGAAACCCTTCAATTTCTGTTAATGAAATCTTATTGTTATTGATTACAATAGACTATTGTGTATACAAGAAAAGACTGTCTATATAGGTAGTGGTATTTATAGTGTTTGCATCATACAATCTAAACTGCTGCAATTTAGGTAGAGACAAATTTGGCATGATATAGGGAAACTTTCAAAACTAGTGAAAATTCCACTTGGGTCATTAAGATATTAAGTCGATAGCTTTCACAAAAATGCATTCCTGTGAATACTTGTAAACAGTAATATATGGGGCGATGTAACACCTTGGCTTATTGGCTAAAATAACATGTAGCCTGTAGAATTGGAAGGAATTAATAATTACATACAGTACTTTAACACTTTAGACTTTATTGAGGTCACTAACCTGTGAATAACCAAGATAAGATTTACATGTACACAGTTGTCTCTCAGCTGACCTTTACACTATGGTTGTCTACAGACTTTTATGCTACCTCATATAATAAATACTTTCATTTTGTCTAACTACTGTGGAATGTGTCTGGTTTCACACGTTTATTTTTCATTAACCCAATAGTTCTTAATTTCTTTAAAAAAAATTAGGATTGAGTCTGAAAATGGCTAGGAAAATAGCATTTGTATTTTATCTTTGTTATAGCATTGATTTATGGTAAAGTATTTCTACATACACTGTATCTTGAAATTTTGCTGTGTCAAATTGTCTACCAGGGGTTGAAATACTCTGGTGCACACTGCACTATGCACATAGATTACCAGCTAGTGCAAGTAAACTCAAAATATAATATGCACGCTGTGCATGTAGAAATTAACACAACATTTTCTCATTATATTCACTAAGCCTAAATTGAGTTCAACCAATATTGTAAGATAACTCAAAAAAAAGCAAATTCTTTCATGATCGCATAGATCGAGAACCCATAAATTTTATTAAAACTTTAAAAGTGGTGCATTTCACAAGTTAGTGCAGGTAAATTTCAAATTCAATGTGCACACTGTGCATGCAGTGGAAAAATTCTATTTCAATTCCTACTAATTTAATTTATTTAAGTTCCACTGTTATTTTTTGATTATACTCAATTTTAAAAGATCTCTCCCTTTAGCACAAACTCCTTTTGAAGGATTACCGGTAGTGTGTTTTTATAAACTTTGTCAACACTAACACCCAATCAAATAATTTAAACAAAATAATTTTATTACTTAATTATATTTAATATTTTATTTTCCTGGCAGTTGATTGGTGGCCTGATCTTGGCTGTTGGTATCTATGCAGAGATTGCCAAATCTGATTATGAGGCGGTTTCGGATTTATTGGCCAGCCCTACTATTTTCCTGATTATTATAGGTGCATGTATGTTTATAATGGGTTTTATCGGTTTGACAGGAGCAATCAGAGAGAACATCACGCTCCTTAGAATCGTAAGTATTACTTTAATCACCACTGATCATGGGTAGTTAACGTGAGTGTAACTGTAGTATTGTTATAGGATCTTGTATGTTACAGGTTTACTCGGTTTCTTAAAGGTGATCAGAAAGAACATCACCCTTTTTAGAATTTATTTATTTATTTATTTATTTATTTATTTATTTATTTATTTATTTATTTATTTATTTATTTGTTTAGTGTGATTCTATTTGTTTATTTTTTTATTTATTTATTTATTTATTTATTTATTTATATATTTATTATATTTCAGTATGGTGGTGTGATTCTTTTTATTTTCCTACTAGAAATCATGGCTGGCATTACAGCATTAGTATTCAAAGGATATGTAAGTAATAAATATGGTAATTTGATACTGACAAGACAAAAATAGTATTACAACATAACTTACATGTATGTCACGTCTTTGTCATAACACAACCTGGCAATGGCCATCAATCTGTAAACTGGCCAATGATACACTGATAAAATTACTTGTATGAGTAAAGACATTATAATTGGTCACCTTTGACCTCTTGATCTGCTGTGACCCTAGAAGCAATACAATAATTTTCGAACGCATTTCACTAATATTTCATATTTGTTCAGTTTAGCTTATGTCTATGTATGGCAGACAGTGTCTTGTTACATGTGTTTTATGATAGAACCCATACAATTGCATGTTGTTTTAGTTTGGGCTGTTATTTTATTTATTTATGACTTTTTTATGACTCAACTTTTGTATGCACTGAACCCAAGTAAACATAGTATGTACTTGTGTACAACAATAATTATATGCTCAGTAACGATTCAATCTGGCTACATTGTATTAGGCTTATGTGAGAAAGTGAAAGGAGGGTGATTGTTGTGATATGTCATTTTTAATACAAGTTCCATGTGACATTTGTAAAATACATTGTTTATTTACAAGTACACTGCCCAACGACCACCGCCCTGCAATATGGACAAGAAATATAATTCTTAATATTGTTAATACTGTACTGTTGATTAATACATTGGATTATGATTTAAAAAAAATTATAACTTGCATAAAATAGTATTTGTTAAATAAACTATGTGCACTGATTATTTTGGTACATAGAGTATTAATCACTGCATATATTAGTGTTTTCCATGAATACTATACTGTTCTATAAAACACTATACATGTATTTAGTGTATATATCTTATTTTATCAACATGCTTTTTTTTCCACATTGCTTTCTATGAATGTCGCCCTCTAGTGTTGTAGTGTTAAAATTGAGATTATTCTGTTGAAACTAATAGAAACAAAAATTTACCACTTTCCCGGAAGCCAAAGACACAGCATTTTTCATGCACATGCATACCATTTTGGGGTGTAACATGAACTTTCACATATGATATTGTTACTCTAGGTGTACCAATCAACGTCACAAAAATAAAATTCCCTTCTACCGACTATCAACAAACTGACATGTTGGTATTTTCCGCCATGACAAAGTAGGAGTATTTTTTCACCCCAGTCTCGCTACTTCCTGGAAAGTGGTCTATGTAATATGGAAACAAATATATATAATAATAATAATGAATTTATTGCATCCTTAGAAATAATTTCCATTGGTTGACAGTAATAAAGTATAATACAGTATTTACATTGATATAGCTTAACATGTAATTTTAGTGAATTTCACTCAATGCATGAATTAACAAAATTTTAATTTAGCAATCAGTGTGAGATTATACTTTATTTTTAATTAGCGACATCTTGAACTTATGGATTAGCTAATTACAGAATTATGGATTAGCTAAATTAACTAAAATAACATGCTAGCTAAAAAGACATGTTTTACAGTAATACTTACACATAAAAAGACAGTCCTATCAAACATTAACTCACAGTGGTCTGTTAATTATATATTTTCATTTTCTTTAAAACATAGGTGAAAGATCTGGCTGCAGGCCAGCTACAAAGTGCCATAGAATTTTATTATGATGATCCTGACTTGCAGAACGGTATTGACGCCTTGCAACTCAATGTAAGTTTTAAGTTTCTCAATTTGGGGTTTGGTTCATATTATTACCATATTTGCTCTATTAGAAGCACATCTCCAATAGCAGTGCATATAAATCTAAAATTATATTTGATGTGCAATAAATCACTAAAATATGACTTATTTTGAACAAAGCCACACCTCTGTACACAAAAGCATACACTTCTATTGGAGAAAATAAAGGTACTTTATAAAGGTACTTTATTTTCTCTCTGAATTTATTTTTGCTGAAGGGATAAATCAGGAAAGATCCGTTTTTGCCCATATTTATTTTACATTATACTCATCACAAATCAATGAAAATAAACCAACAAAAATTAATTCCAGCTAAAATAAAGTATTTTACAGTACAGTATTTGTTTTACTGTTTATTTGTGGCAATTCTTCCATAACATTTTCAAGTATAGTTTCTCTGTACACAAAACAATCAGCACAAATTGCTTTCAATCCTAAAATACATAATCATTTTGACTGATAAAATGTTTATTGCCTTGATGGTATCATCGTAGATGAAAGGCAAGGTACATTACAGATGTCATATGGGCTTTGGCATCGCAAAACTTTCAGCAATACAAGTGATGTTGTAGCGATGTTGATGCAACACTCAGGCAAAGCGGAAATAAAGCTGATTGTAACAAAGCCAGTTGTCAGTACCTCTGTCCTTGTTGTCTTATGTATTGCCAAATTTTGTTTAGATATGTTGGTGAACTTTTAGAAACTTTTATACAATTCAAGTTATATTATTCTATAAGGAACATTGAGATTAATACAGTACATGTAATATTAATGGAAGAATATATAAATATTAATTAATTTTGTTAAGTAATTATAATGACTTTTTTAGCCTGCATTTCCTGCACAAAATGTTTAGACAATATATTATTGTATTGTTTCAGGACTTTAATACTCACTTTTGCCATGGGAAAAAGATATTGTTAATATTAATATTGATATTAAGTTAGTTTGTTATCCCTCTATCATATTTGATATTTAATCTAGGTTTGCAATGAACAAGGTTTTAATATTTACAATGTTTAATTTTGGCTTATTGAATTTTGTCTAATTATTTTTAGCTTCGTTGCTGCGGTGGATATGATTTCAATGATTGGGAGCAGAATAAGTACTTTGAGTGTGATGCCCCGGGTAGATCTGCTTGTGGTGTTCCATATTCATGTTGTGAATCCACTGTGGTAAGTCTACTATTCCTGCCTCCACGAATTCCTGCACTCTGCCCCAGTGCATTCCTGTTCCTGCCCCATGCATTCCTGCACCCTGCCCCAGTGCATTCCTATTCCTGCCCCAGTGCATTCCTGTTCCCTGCAGCATGTATGATATACCTTCTCTAGCCTGATATATGAAAGTATTCTATGTACTGAAAATTGTGCATGTAAACCGTAAGTTATGTAGTGACTTTGCTGCCAAGGAAAAATTGAAAACTGCAGTGATATGATTTTAAATTCAATTTGTATTAAGATTATTCAACATTCAAACAAGCAGATCTATGTTCAATGTTTAACATAGATTGATTATTAGCTTTTAAGACATGCATTAAAGAGTAGATTTGAACCAACAAAATCATCTTCTGAAACAGGAATCAACATTTTCCCATTCTACTGTGATGTAAACACAAAGACAACTAAACACATGAGCAGTAACACCTTCATACCTGCACTTTATTCCTGTTTATCAATCAGGTAATTAATTAACTTAATTGCCATGACATTATTTTTTTCAGAGAGATGAGGTGATTAATTCACAGTGCGGGTACGACACTCGTAAATACGAACGACTAGAACTTGTTGATGTGATATTCATCCGAGGTTGTGCTGATGCTTTTGTCGTCTGGTGCTCAGATAATCTAAACATCATGGCTGGAATTGTGTTAGGAATTGCTATTCCACAGGTATTTAACTTTACGTGAATACTTTTGTCATATCATTTTCTTATCTCCCCCCATTATAAATGAACATTTGTCTTATCTATAAATAAGACTAAAAGATTTTTAAAAATTTCAAATTTCCCTGTAGTTTGTGCTAAAATCAGTAAACTTTTTTTAATTTTTTTTAATTTAAAATAAATTAAGAAATCACTACTAATTTACCAAGTATTAGCAAGAAAACTTTAAGTAAATGCATAGATTTATGATTCCAGTTTCAATACCAACCATAACTTGCACTTTTGAAGAACATTGTTTAATGTTTGCTGGTATTTGTGTTGAACTGGTTCTGGTTGGTATCTGGATAACATTACCCCTAAATTGTTTTACAATTCCTTGTGTGTGACAATAGAGGGCGCCATACTAATATTTATTTTTCTTTCCAGCTCATTGGTATAATATTGGTATTTTTATTCATCGATAAAATAAAGGAAAAAAGGGATTATTATTTGTATTCCAAACCCAGCAGGACTTAGTTAACCACTATGTAGAACGGTATGAAGTACGGTATTATGTCACAATTTTGTTGACCTAACAATGATCATTTTGGGGTGATAGAACATGTGTTACCATGGAAACATAACAACATTAGACAACATATGCAGATGATAAACATTTCACCCCAACTGCATTGTTTTGTTTTTTTAATGATTTGTTGAGAATAACACCCATTACTGTGTGTTTTAAGTCATAAAACCACTGTAGATGTGTACAAGTGTTTTTTTAATCAAATAAGTACAATGCAAAGGCAACATATTTGCACAATGTTATTCATTTATTGTAAGAAGATTTATTGAGAACTTTTAGTATCTCAAGTTACTGTATTTGCTCTATTAGTAGCACAGTAAAAAAAAAAATATTTTAATGATTCAGTAAACCGGGAATGTGATTTGGGTTAATATACGCTTCTATTGGAAATATGCGTTAATAGGGAAAATACGGTAGTGGTTATTTTGGAACCAAAACTTTTTATTTCTGGAATTTTTGGATTGGTAATCATTTATAAAATTGGTATAAAAGTTTACCATGGTACTCTCTGATGCATGGCATTTATGCAGCTAATTTTAAATGTCATGACAATAACTACTAGATAAATAATATGGCATTCACATTGAATCCTCACTGTAATTAATTACAAATATGAAATTTTCGTTTGCATTTCCAAAAATATGCTTGTTGTTCAGTACATTACGGTATATATCACTTGTTACAAGACAAACAAATGTTTTTACTTACAGTTTTGAATTTTTATTAACAATTTTGATAAATATTTCTCTGTATAGAATACCAGCAATAATTACATCTATTTCTTAATATTTTTATAATTCTAAATATCTCGTTTAATGTGAAAATAAATCTTCAATCAACCAAAATAAATTAATAAAAAACTTAGTTATAAACAGCAGTAATTTACAACATAGACTAGGCATTTGAACAAATTGTTACTTTTTTTTTGCACACAAGTGTTGTTTTAAATGTATTCGATTTTTCTTATCAGTTATAAAGTAGGATTTCCCAACCAGGGATGTGTTTATTACTAAATGCTTGAATGAGTTATAGAACTGTGTGTATGTATATTTAGTGCCTTGAATTAACCAATAGTATGAATATTTGACACTATTACTACAAGTTTATGATCAATGTTAAATTCAAATATTCAATTACACATTGTTTTAATTCTTGATTTTCCAGGTATGTTATTAACTACAGATTTTAATAGACAAATTCTAGTTTTTCAACTTTTTATACTGCTAAGTCTTTTCACTGCATGTCGTTCTTTTACTCAGGTACTAAAAATTGCCTTTACTTTTACATAAATTCAATGTCTTCCCTTTAGGCACAGTTGTTTTACTATGCTCAAACTTTCAAGAAAACAAAAGTTATTCTTATTAGCATAAGAAGACTATTATTCTACTTATTATTATGTAAATCAGGTTATTAACTAGGTTATATGCTGTCCAAAAATCATGAGAAGACTGCGTCCATTAAATAGGACATTAAATGTTTCCTTAGTCAAAGATTTTTTCTGATTTTTTTATTTGATTTCAGAAAAGATAATTCGTGCTGCTTGAAGTAAATGTTTAAACCCTGAGGCTGTTTTAAGATATGTAGAATTTAATATATTGTACAGGTGGAGGCTTTTTAATTTACTGTATTTGTTTTGTACACTTGCTTTAGAATAAACACACATGCAACATATATATGTTTTCTCTCTCCTGTGTGAGTATGTTTATGCTGCTGAGTGGCGCCCTTGAGTCTGTCCAGTTTTGCCTGCTATGTGACATTATAACTGGAGCATCTCAGGGCAGTTTTTAATGCGCATACTTGTAGTTCTGGGAAGTTTTGGGGAAAAGATAGCAAAATTGTTAGTTAAAAAATGTGTTTAGGTAATTTTCTCAAGCATAAAGTGCATAAAGTTTTTGAAATCAATTTTATACATTTTACACAATTTTTGCTTTTGCATATCAACGGACCAATATAATCACATGACACTACTACTCCGGATTACGTTGGTATACATTACTTACACTGTGAACCCATTGTTGTCACTAGTCACTACGACCATGTCATTTGAGAGACCCCAAGGCAGCAACCCTAATGCTCTGTAAAAACTTGTTCAATTGTATATACTCTATACTGTGTAGTTTCTATTTAAAAGCTTACTTTGATTGTATGTAAAAGTTTATTTAAACAGAGAATCATTCAGTTTGCAACAATTGGTAAAAAATTGAATAATACAAACCCTGGCATAATGTATCGTGTTCAGATACAATTATTTTCATCAAAATTGACCATCATCAATTGGTATACCACATCCTCAAGCGTGAAAATACGCAAAACTACTTTTGCGTTTGCCGAATCCCAGGTGATGACATTTGACATATGACTTTTTATGTCACAATCCAAGATGGTCGCCTGGTAGCCATTTTGTTTGATAAAAAAAATAATTTTTTGCTCAATTCTGCTCAATTCTCACTGTTCAGGTTGGTTCAAATTTGGTACACAGGCAAATGTGTTTTAGTACAACAATGAAATTTGGTCTGTCACAATCTAATCAAAGATGGTCGACTGGCAGTCATTTTTTTTGACGAAAATTAGCAATTGTTGTTTCTTTAATTGTGCTTCTAATCTGAAGACCTTAGTATTCTTGACACCTATAGGTGTGTATTGCTTGATTTGCCTACCACTATGTTATGTAGGACAGAAGGGCTGTTTTTACTGTCAGGTCACTGGTCTCAAATTCTCTGTCAAATTTGGTTAAAACTTCAAACACATCAAAAAAAGTTGATAGGTGATGTGATCCAATCAAAGATGACCAATTGGCAGCTACGGTATATACCATATTGCAATTTCAAATCATAGTGTATTGTGGGATATTTATGACAGCATGAAACACAACTCCACCAGTCAGCAATCTGACATAACTATCCTACAATGCATTATAATTTACACATTATATTTGCTGCAAATTAAATTATCTTGTAATCCAAGTCATTAGTTCAATGTAGAACAGGTATACATGCACTTGATCAGAAAGGAGCATATACCCGGTAAATGCTGACATTTTATTTGACATATATTATCAAAGTACAAGTGTGGTACATTACTTGAGGTTTGCAACATGCATAGTACTGTATGGTGACATCTTGCCAAGATCCCATTCAAGTCTCATCTCGTAGATAGCGAGACTGATGTACAATAAAACATGTATTACCACATTCATGATGAAAAAATTTAATACATCGAAAATGTATAGAAAATATATTTATCGTAGTCCGTCATATCGTAAGCAGCTATTTTGATCCTCCTGGACATCCCAGTATCCTAGTTACCTCGGGCATGCGCATTCTTATTTTTTTTGAGTTGTAACGCTTATGCGAGAGCGAGATTGTAACCGGATCTTGGTATCATGTTACCGTAGTTGCAAACCCCAAGTAATGTACCTCTGGTACAAGATACTATTTTGGTTCAAATCGGCAATTCTTGTGTGTGGCCAAAGTAATTTCAATTTTGAAACAACAATTAATGGAGAAAAGGGTCCCTGATGAAATACAAAAATCAGTTTATAAGAGTGCCCTTGTGTCTTGGTTTCATAATCTACTGAATACACCAACCCGTGAATATTTCTTCTCTGAAACCACTTGCTATTAGTAACAAAATCACTGCACAACTTTATATAAAATATTAAGTATTATTCATTTTAATATGACTTACACAAGTGAGGATTATATTTTTAAATTAAAGAGCAAAAATTTTAACATAAATCTGGGGGAATAATGCTTTGTAAAAACCTAAGTTCATTCATTCATGAACACCTAAACCTACCATACTTTGTCTCATACTTTACTCTGATGTATATGTCCAGAAGGACACCCTCAACGTGAATTGTTCTAGATACTTTTGTCTTTGCACGGAAATGAAAAAATCAAGAGTCTACAGCAAAATTTAAAAAGCCATTTCAATTTATTTATTACTGACTGGTATTTTTGCTTTAAAGATGTGATTCTGTGTAAAATATTGTTAAATTTGGCACTTAAACAGATGAAAGACTACGGTGTTCATATCGTGCTAAAATTATCGGTACTTTTCATGTTATTTTCGAAATATCAATGGTTTTTGATACTTTTTGAACATGTATAGAAATTGAATTACCATGGTAAACAAACATGATATCATAGTCAGATTACCGAATTTGCTCCATTAGTAGCGTATGTACTTTATACACAAATTACAGAGGTATTTCTATGTTTAAAAAAAGACATATTTTAATTATTCAGTATACATTTTAGGTTTAGTTGTGCTTCCAATAGACCAAAAATATAGTATTTTTACAGAAATAAGGAGCTCATAAAATTGATATCTTCCACCAATCAGTAAACGAGTACGGAAAGGACATCCCTTTGTATATGGAAGAGGCCATTCAAATAAAGTAAAGGTGCTTTCGGCGATTTTTACAGAAAATGTTCGACTTTCATTTACAACATGAAATGCATGCTATTTGATTATTATGTAATTTTGAAATACCAAGTGTATATAAAAATTATTAAGAATGAACGTGGCTATTCATACTTTTGAAACAACACATGTATGTGATTTGGAATATAATTAAATTTGTTAATTGTGTTAATTGGAATAAACATAATTAGTATTAATTAGTATTAATTAGCCAACAGTTATTGAGGGGAACAATTTCAACCATATTTAACTTTTTTTTCATATTTTAAAATTTATTAACAGTGAATTCTCAATTAAAATTTATTTTTAAAATTATGTGATCAGACCGCCTGTTTCAGTGTGCTCGAGGTGTTGGGTCAAAGGTTACTTTTTTAAGCCACAATTAAAGTTGAAACTTGTTTTTCCCTGAAAAAGACAGAAAGTGCCTCAAAAACAATTGTATGTAAATATATATAAATATATATATATATACAAATTACTGATATTATTATTATATATATATTTGGCCAGGATTGCTTTTGGAATGATATCCATGGCTGCAGCATAAATAATTTCATTTCACTTTTATCTTCAATTTACATTTTGCAAGTGCAAATTCTCAATTAAGAGAAGATTAACGCATGATTGACTGGAGAAGGAGTCTCGGAGATGGAAAGAAATTAAAATACCCCAAATGGAAATTAGGAAAATTACAATTGCATCCAATCATGCGGCCATTTTGCAAGAGTTAATTTCGGCTCTAATCAATTATTGGCCACATTTAAAACAAAGAAAGAATGAACAAAACTTTGTGTCTCCGTGGACAATACAGACACCAACCTAAACATGTACTTAGTGATTATTGTTTCTCAGTATATGGTTTTATTATCATAGAACTATAAACATCCTATTCACAGTACTTTCCCTTAATTTAATTACATCATCCAATACGTCATAACACTCAGACAACGTACGAGTTCCTTATTTGCTACGCGTCCTAACCTTTCCATTCGATGACCAGTGAAAGGGTGTTGAAAGCGTAGCATGAGTGAGTGTTTACAAACTACAATATTTGTCATGATTTGTCTCCATAGATACTGAATTATTCGCTACTTGAGTCTTCGAGTGTCCTAGTTTGCTTCTTACTTCTTCGCTTCTGTAAAGGTGCACAAATGAATGTTACACACAGTTATACAGTGATTATCGCATACACACAATGATATCGTTGGTGGCGCCATAGATTATATAGTCTATGGTCGTATCATATAATAATATCTGCAATATTTGTGTTACGGTTTTTTATGATGATAACCACAGTCGGCCTACAACACGATTTAAAGTAAAACAGGTTGTCATACCAACTTCACGATTTGTGGTCGGTTATACTACCAGGTTGAATATTTACATGTAGACACAGTTCATGGAAATTCTCACCTTATTTTGCGGTTTCACCGTCCCCTTCA